GACGTTTCGACGAAGTCTCATTCGTCATCTTCAGGCTGCTTCAGACTACTTCAGGCTTGGTGTATCTTTTTGGTACAATATAATAGCACAAGAGTTATAATCAAAGCATTCTTGTTCCAGAACTGCCGAAATTAGTAATTTGCTCATAGAATACACAAAATATCTTTTCTGGCATGTAATTTAAGAGAATTCCTAAATTAATGGTATTATAAATTGGTTAGAACAGGAGTGTCAAATTTATGTTGTCATGGCATCACGTGATGTATCAGGATTTTTTCCCCCCTTCGCTAAACCAGGTGTGGACATGTCCAGCATATGACGTCTCCGGCCCACAGGCCAGGGGTTTGACAACCCTGGCTTAGAAGATCCAACATGCTCCCTCCCCCAAACTCCTCTACTTTAGGATATCAAGGAAACAAAGGCAAAACACAGAACATTGACTGCAGATAATGGCATGAAAGACAGCAAATGACAATATTCACTCAGACATCTCCTCCTAATCTTTTTTTTTAACAGTTGAGTAACTAAGAGACATGTTGTGCTATTGATTCAGCATTAAAGCAAAAACTGATTAAATATTTGAAAAATCTTCATCTGTAAACAAAGTGACCTTTTCCCAGGAGAATCTTTGCTTTTATTACAGGAACTAGGGCGTATAGATTTCACAGGTAGTCCCAATAATTAGCAAAACCCCTGTTGTAGTATGGATCATCAATGGGACACAGAGAACTGTCACAGAATTAATCAATATTTTCATATTAGAAGGCTTAAAATTCCAAGGCTTTCCTGTTATTTCCTACATCAATAGGACTAAGATTAGAGAGGCAAGTATACTTAGAGAGTAAGTCCACTTGAACTCAATGGATTTTCTACATAATAAATTCTATATTGCTTTTCGAAGCTAGGAGAACAAAACAGGTTGATTTTGTGATATTTTTGAAGGAAGGAATAAAAAGCTTTATAGCCACCATATGCATATTTATACAAAACAACAACACAAAATCTTTCCCTCCTTCCCTCCCTCTCCCTCTCTCTCACACACGCATGCACGAACAATACATTTCAATGTACATTTTTCATTTTCTTTAATTATAAACTCATGAAGGCATATTCAATATCCTTAACACTATAGCCATATACATATGGATTAGTATTTGTCACTACAAAACAAATCAGATTAGATTTTTTTCACTCTAAAAGATATTTAAACATGACTATAACAGAAGTAGTTTAAAACAGTTCAAAATGGCTACTATTTATCCAAAATAAAGATAAACAAATATATTCACCACCAATATACTGTAGTGTTTAGTTGCTACTACCATGGAAAATTCATCACAAGGATTTGTCAGGATTTATTAATCTTACTGTTCTATTTGAGCTCTCTATATAAAGTGTGCAATTGCAGCAAACTACAGTGGCAGTTTTGAATTAACTTTCTATACAACTTGACATAATTCTGATAAATAAAATATGAACATGATTTTTGATGTTAGTCTCAGATTTGAAAATGTCAATTGCTTATGTGAGGAGAGGAGATATGACGATCCTTACATTGAATACTAATATGGGTAGGCGATTGATCTTGTCAGAGATGGCAAGTCAATCTTTTATTTATTTGTGTATCACAGGCATTTTAGGCTAACTCAATGAATCTAAGCAGTTTATAATGCAGGAATACAACATCATAAATATGCAGCAAAACATAACAAAGTTATTTATAATGTTGTTATAATATAACTGTTAATAGTAAGCAACATCATTATTCATCCACAATATTTCCTCTATTTTTTCCTCAGCAATCCTCTTCGAAAACCTCAGAATGTCCCAAACCATTTGAATATGAAAAATGAGGGCACAATTGTTACATCTCATAGCATTTAATATATTGATGGACTTCTAGTTCAGTAATCAAGAACATTTGTTTACCATAAATTGGCAGTTTAGTATGAAATAATGAATTTCTATTCAAATATTTCTTAGTAAGACTCTTATTGTAATATAGTGATGTAGAAAACTTAATGACAAGTCAGATCATTGCTCATCTGTCTTACTGTATTCTATACCAACTAGTATCCATTCTCAGACTTAAAGATGTGAGTATAGATGTGAATATATGCCCTGTCTATGCATGACAAATTTGGAGCTGGGATCTTCTCTCAAATCATGTATCAACTATTGAACAATCATCTTTCTTGAATTTGGAGAATGCACCTAAACCTGGCTTTCCTTCTTGGCTAAATTCTGTGATAATATCATTTCTTCATTAAGATTTTCACAGTCATAAATTTGCTAGGACACTTATTATTAGCAATCTGCTATGTGAAGATCTGATAAGAATGTACTTATTGTAATAATTAGCATATAACATGTACATAGATGACCATAGGACAAAGGGTACTTCTATCTATATAAATTGGGAATGGATGTACACTTTTCATTTCCAGCGAAAAGGGTAAATGATGCTATTTTACTGAATCTTTGAATATGCATAATGACTCAGATATTTGCATAGATTCAGCTTTATAAAATTAAAATGATTAATCTCTGGAGACTAATCAGCATGTATAATCAATTAATTGCAATAATTTGTTAGATTGTTCATATTTTTCTAAAATATAGAAACACTGTTATTTGTAAATTACAGAGAGCTTCTATAATGACATATATAGGATAGTTTATCATGCATAATTCAGACATTAATATTAAAATACCAGAACTGATTAAATCTTTTGGAAAGTTTTCAGACACAAATTCTGGAATGAATAGAAGAATCAGAAATAAAAACTACCAGCACACTTTTACACAGTGTTACAGAATTTTTTAGATGTATTGGCTATACAAATAAAGTAATAACAAAAATGAAAAGAAAAAAAAAACCTTCAGTAAATTAAGACAAATCCTATGCATGCATAGAAGGGGAAATAATAATGTCTTGCCTGTTCAAGCATCAACTACTATAACTTTGATTGTTGTTATCTCCCTCATGATTTGAATATCCATACTTCAAATATATAAAGAAAATATTGATACATAATTAAAAATAAACCTATTTCTTAATCATTTTATGCGTCATTTAAATGCAAATCTTAGGGAATATTTCACAACTTGTTTTTCCCAGTGCCTCAGGTTTTTAGGAGCAAACTAAACCAAACCCTTGGAATAAATGGAATTATTATTGTACAATTGTATCACAGCGGCCAGTTGTTTCACCGGATTTGGTATTGGTTACTAGTCGGGCCCCACCCAGGNGTCAAACCCGCGGCCCATGGGCCAGATGTGTCATGTGCTGGTCCCGCCCCCACCCTGATAAGCGAGGGGAGAAGTCCCAATACATCATGTGATGACACTGTGACGATACAAGTTTGACACCCCTGTGGTAGATGGGAAAATGCATCTTCTATTTTACAGAAAAGATTCACGTGCAGTAAATCAGAAATGATTCCCACCTGACATGATAACTTTCATAAAAGGGCACTTCAAATTGAGCTTTCTTGTATTGCTTCATCTGTAGACCTTGGATGCTTTAATGATAACTGCTGGATTGATAACACTGGTTCTAGAGGAAGATGGAACGGTGGTGGATACTGAAGGTTTCTTCCAGTCATTAGGGGATAATACACAACTCATGCTTCTGGAGAAAGGACAGAAATGGAAGCCAGTAAGTGTTTTTCTCTAATTGGTCTCTTTCCAAATACCTTTATGAGATTCTTTTTTGTTTCTTTGACATTTTTCTCAGCTCTCATCTTTAGCATTCATTTGATTTATTCCACATGTCTAGCTAGCTCTAAGGAAAGCATAAATTTTCTTATATGCATTACTATTTTTCTTATCTAGCTGAGTAGCAGTAGTAGTAGTAGTAGTAGTAGTGAAATTTTATTATTATTGATACTACTATTATATGATCTAAATAGGATTAGAAATTTTTCAGCTTTCTTGTCTCACTGTTTAGCTATATACCAGCTTCTGCGACCTGTTTCTACTAAATATTGTCTCTAAACCATAATATATTTTCCCAGTATTTCTTTTATGGAATTTAACTTGTAAATGTTTGCATATATTTGCTATAGTTTAGTCTGTTGGTATCAGAGACTTTAATATATTAAAATATGCCTGGACAAATACATCTGTTCCAAACATAATAGCATATTATTGCAGAAATGATAACTAATGCATGAAGTTTCAGTCTTGTTTTTAGTAGAAAAAAATTAGCAATGTAAAGTTAAGCCTTGTTTAAATGATGGTGTTGACACTGGGTCTGCCATTGTGTAGTAATATAACCTAATTCACTGGGTTATTGTAGTAGGGGAAAATTAACTATAAATCAGTCTTCTGTATTTGAAGGAAAAATTAAATCCACAACCATATCTCCAAGTTAAAAGAAGGGAAAACACACAGACTTGTCCCAAAGTTTCAGTATAGTTTAATGGGTATTGTAAATGTTTGGGTAAGTAGTCTAATATTTAATGCATATTTTTGGCATCTTGATGTAGGGATTACATAATGGTATTACAACAATACAGCAACCAAAGAAAATGGGAGTAGCAAATTTCACTCTGGATTTGTACAAACTGAATCCTAAGGATTTCATTGGTTGTTTGAATTTTAAAGCTACCTTCTACGAAATCTATTCTGTGTCCTATGACATCAAGTGTATGGGAGCAAAAAGTATTCTAAGGTAAGTATTAAATTTGTTTGCTGCCTTTTTTGTTACAAAGCAATGCTAGTATACATTTATACATTTACAAATATACATTTCTAGTGTTGTATATGGAATAGAATTATCATAGATGTTTTAACAAAACTCTTCCAATAGCTTATGCATCAGAAAGATAGCATGTTTTACTTTTTACTTTTAAGAAGAGCTTTTTTAAGGCATTAAGATTTTACAACTTAACTAGACAAAGTGTAGCCTTGTGTTTTTATTATCTTAAGTAGGTCAAAGTTCATAAGAGCAGCCCTCCTGGATTAGAGGCCTTTCAGGCATAGGTGCCTATGAAAGACCACAAATAAAAAATGAGCACATTTTACTGAACTGGAGGGATCAAAGCAAATGCTAACACCCCCCCCCCCCAAAACCATGAAGGCCATTCTATTATTTATCTCTCAGACTAGCCTATTTCAAGAGTGATTATAAGGTGACAGTGATTTGTGAATTTAGATAGGGTGCATTTAACTTTTTAGAGCAGTGTTTCTCAACCTTGGCAACTTGAAGATGTCTGGACTTCAAGTCCCAGAATT